CACAGCCCGGCGGTCACCGCACAGCCCGGCGGTCACCCCACAGCCCGGCGGTCACCGCACAGCCCGGCGGTCACCGCACAGCGCGCCCGCCCCTGCGCCCACTGAAGGGCCGCATGAGGGGCGAGAGGGATTTCCCGGCACTTACCGCTCGCGCGGCCAGTGTCATCACCACTCCGGTCAGAAACGTCAGGTAGTATCCTGGGTACACCCCGTGCCAGATGGCAGACAGGATGAACGTCTGGACCGTCGGACTCACGGTGGCGCGTTCGTAACACACCCTAGGAACCGTGAGAAGCACGGGGACAAGCGGGTGATTAGGCCGCGTAAAGCCCACGACAGTCCTTCCTCTACTGCCCGAGAAGACTCAGGGGAACCGGGGGAACAAAAGCGAGTCTCCGAGGCCACAACATAACCTGCGAGCTCAGGGACATCCCTGCTGTAGTGTCAAGTTCAGGAAACTAAGTTTAATTCCCATCCTCTTGCTGGTACCTGTCACAGCTCAAGGGGTCACGCTGGTGTTTGGGAGTCTATACTGGTTACAGAAGAAACCAGTTACAAAAGTAACTATGGTTCAAGTTATTTTCATTTTATGCTACTTTATAATTCTCGTTAGTAACATTAAGACCTTTCAACAGAGCCCATAACACTCTTCTTTCCGACGAGTGGGCTTAGTCTAGAGTTTTCTTTAGGGAACTCGGAGGGAAACAAGATGCTCCTAAGGCATCAAACTCAAAATTGAGCAGAACGGCACAGGTAACTCGGGATCAGCCCGGGAGCTCTGCAGCCGCCGGGGAGACGGCCAGGCGGCAGCGAGCGAGGGTCGCACGCAATGTGGGCATCTCGAGGGAGACGACCTCCGGTAAAGGGCGTCACGAGGGGAGGCTCGTGCCCAGGGCCCGGCACAGGGCAGCCATGAAAGAAATTCGACGCAGGGCACTGTCTCCCTGGGAACAGCGAGGCGGAACCTCGGGGGTCCCCGAGCCATTTCCTCACTTCATCTTCTGTGACCCTTGCTCCTCCTGAGCCGCCTTCACCCCCGGGTCCGCCGGGCAGATCCCTGGGGAGCCCCGCCTCCCCGGTGCCTTGCTGTCCCTGCTCCCCCCCTTGTTCTCACTGCAGGGGACGCACCTGCAGAGGGCTCTGCTGTGTCTGTCACAAGGCTGTGACCTGCAGAGGCCGGGTGTTTGTCTCACCCTGTGCCCAACATCGAAGGATCTGCTGAACTGAAATACTTTCAAACTGGAAAGTCCAGCGCATGCGTACAGGGGTTGTCCCCTCACTTATCCTGTCTGACCGACTCTCCCATGAATGAGAGCGGGGGGGACGCTCAGCAGAGGCCGTCACGGGCCAGAAAAGGGGTCAGCGATGGCCGCCATGAAAGCCCGGCCTTGTGGGATGTCACCCGTGTTCCCTGGTGAGTGCCAGGCCCCATGTCACTCAGCACGCTGCTCATTAACCAGGAGCCTGAGCTCAGTGCAGCCCGACCTCGGGTACCAGCTGCCAGGGGGCCGCTGAAGAGTGTCTGCGAAGGAACCTACCTTTTGAGCCAAAGAGCCGTCTGAATATTCCAATTATCGAGAAACATCTTGAAACTTGTTGACATCTGAAACACAAAGGGACTTTTTTCTCTGCCCAACAAAACCACAAAGTTTTTAATGTAAGTAATAACGTGTTGCTGTGCTAAAAATAAGTGAGCTTGACAGTGATGGTAGTGGAGGGGTTTCTGTACGAGTCCTGCTTTTTCAACACCGTAACGTCAGGCCCTGGGGGGGGGTATTGTAGGGCAGAGGGACGAGGTAAAGGATTCCCGCCCTCTTCTCTTGTATGTTAACATTTACAGGGGTGCCCTGGGATTATCCCCGAGAAACTCCGGACAGAGTCAGCAAAGGGCTCTCTCCTGAGGATGGACGTCCTCTCAAGGATGTAGAGTTAAAGACCAACTAGAAAAACTAGGGTCGTTCCTATAGGATACTCGTTCCCTGGAGCCATGCCCTTCAGCCACCCCTCCCTGGCTCCTCGGAATTCCGGCCCCACCTGGCCACCCCTGCAAGGTGGGCCCG